ATAAAAGACAAAGTATATATTTGTATTTTGATTTTAGTGTTAGTCCAAAACAAAAAGCTGAAGTTGTTGAACTTATTAAACGATCAACAGATGATATAACATTAGCTGTAGGTGATGGAGCAAATGATGTTGGTATGATACAAACAGCACATGTTGGTGTTGGTATTATGGGTCGAGAAGGTGTACAAGCTGCATGTGCATCAGATTATACTATTGGACAATTTAGATTTTTAACTAAATTATTATTTGTTCATGGTGTTTGGAGCTATCGTCGTTTATGCAAAGTATTGCTGTATTCATTCTATAAAAATATTTGTCTTTATGTTATGGAAGTTAGTTTTACATGTTAAACATATTAGTAAAAAAAAAAACAAAAGTCATTTGAATTAATTTTTTCTAGCTTTGGTTTGCATTTCATAATGGATTTTCTGGACAAATTTTATTTGAACGATGGACTATTGCAATTTATAATGTTTTATTTACAGCAGCACCACCAATGGCACTTGGATTATTAGATCGATGTTGTAGTGCAGAAACTATGATGAGATTTCCAGCTATGTATAAGATGTCACAAAATAGATCAGATTTTAATATTAAAGTAAATCATGATTTTATTTGTTATTTTGGAGAAAAGAAAAAAAATCAACAAAAAGATTTATGTAATGTAGGTTTTTTGGACATGGTGTTTGAATGCTGTTTATCATTCCATTATTCTTTATTTTATGTCTTATGCAATGCTTCGACATGGTAAATATATAAAGATTGATTTTGAAATCTAATATATCATTTGTTTTTCGAATTCCTATGCTTGAAAAAAAGAAACTGACCGAGAGAAATCGATTGTCTATGTTATTTAGATGTTGTTCATTCTAATGGAATTGTCTTTGGAAGTCATTTATTTCTTGGCAACTGTGTTTATACTGTAAATGGAGATTACTCTTTCTTTCTTTTCTTGCCATTTTCGTGCGCGCTTAACTAATCTCATTAGTAGATGAAGGGCTATTTAGATTTTTTTTCTTACCTTCGAATGCACTACTTTTCCTATTAAATCTATTTCCTAGCATGTGACAAAAATAACTAAATGCACATCACTTAACCTTTTGCTTCTTATGATTTTCTATCTATAGACGTTGCGTATAGCAACGGACAAGTGGGTGATTATCTGCTACTAGGCAATATGATTTATACGGTATGTTTAGTTATAATATGTTGTGCTTGAATTTTAATAATTGCTTTATTAATATTTATGAATTTTATTAAAAAAAACAAAAAACAAAAAAATAAATTTCATTTGAAATTTCTGTTTATATACTTTAGTATGTCATCTTTGTTGTTTGTCTTAAAGCGGGACTTGAAAGTGATTCATGGACATTCGTAAGTAAAATGAAATGAAAAAAAGATATTTCATTTTATTGAATTATTATATCTAGCTTACACATATCGCTATTTGGGGAAGTATTGCTTCATGGTTTCTATTTTTTATAATATACAGTAATATATGGCCAACGATACCATTAGCACCAGAAATGCGTGGTATGGTAAGTATCTATTTGATTCATAAGATATTCAAAGATTAATTATTAAAATTATTTCCTTTTAGGCAAAATATGTTTTTTCAAGTCTATATTTTTGGCTTGGTTTATTATTAATTCCAATAACTGCATTATTGGCTGATTTTATCTATAATTGGTAATGAAAACTAAATCAATTTTTTTTGTATACCAATTTCATTGAATTTTTTTTTT